CGTTTTTTAATGTCACAAACACAACTGGTATAATAATAATAATAATAATAATAATAATAATAATAATAATAATAATAATAATAATGTCTTATATTGTGCTGACCTCGGCGAATGTCATATATAGCACTGTGTCCAAACTTCCTTGTCCTGAGGAGTGTTCAGCGGCATTTTTATGCATAAGAATAAGGGAAACCTGTGCTAGTTGATGACAGTTGATAATTTTCGAATACCTTATAGCGCTTAAAGAACAAGGACGACAAGGCAAAGAAGGTAACGACACGAGCGCCGTGTGGTCTTCACGTGTATTTTTACCGCGCAAAAATAAGTGTTTAAATCGAGACTACAGATCGAAAATCAAGGGGAGTACATGTCCCACTTCCAGGACATCGCGCCCAAGACAATAGCGGGCGCATTCATTAAGTTTGCGCAATACTCGCTTTATGATACGTAACGCTCGTGTGGACCTGGGCGATGCCTCGTTTACGCTGTCCGCAGCGTGCCGTGAAATCGACGCGTATTTGTTGCAGTTGAAAGTGTCGTCTGACTCCACTCATTTAGTTAAAAGTGGCTTGCACCGGCAGTAATCTGGAAGCGAAGAACGGCAACATGGATCTGGCCGATGCACAGTGTCTATAATTAGGAGGTTGATAAAGTTAAATCGTTTGTGGCGATACAAATCCGCCTGTCATCATGATATATACACCGTTCGAAATATAGCTTTTTTTTTTTCCTCGAAAACATCCGCTACTAAGGAAGGAGACCGAGGCATTGCATATAGTCCTGGTCCGAAAACCCCCGCCGCGAAATGACCCATGCTTCCCACGCGTTTGGTAACGTTGCTCAAGGCGGAAACAAGATTTAAGACGGCGACGAAGCGGGAGCCATTCGTCTCGAATGCGCCGCACACACGGCGAGCTTCGCGGCGGCTTCGTGGTTCGGCGGTGGACGACTTCATTCCGAGCGCGTGTCGGCGGCTCGGAGCACACTCTACTACAAGTCGGAGATAAGAAAAAAATAACGTAATAATAAATGGGGCGAAACCATGCGGAAACGAAGACGGCCCTGGCGGTAACACGCTTCGTGGGGGCATGCATGCGACCGGAGCAGCCGCCGTCCAGGGCTGCCGGCCGCAGGGCGCACGTTCCCTGGCTCTTGGACGTGCATAGCGCGTGGAAATTGGAGCAGAAATTCAACGAGCACCATATGTAGAGAACGGGTCTTACTCGAATTCGAATTATTATTTACAGACTCTCTCTGTCACTATCGTGTCTATTTGTCTGTTTGCCTAAGTGGAGATAAGCATATGCGGGCACAAGGGGGAGAGGGGCAGGTAGGTGCTCCCACCCCCCACCCCTTTGGGACGTAAGCGAGGGGGGGGGGGGGGGCTCAGCCAGCCCACACATTTACATATTAGGGAGAGGGACACTGAGACGAACCTTTGCCTCCCCCCCCCCCCGTGGATTGGACATTACGCACGGAGATGAGCGAATCAAATTAGCCAAACCGACGAAAGGCCGCTTTTTCGCCTGTTATTATTAAGTTCACCATGTCATCGTGTCTGCTTGGCTGACAGACGGCCTCTACATTACTCAAAATTTCAACAAGAACAGAGTACGACAATGCTCTATGAAACCTTGCAGAATCCTGCATAACCGTCTGCTTTGCACATCGCTCAAAAGTGCGGAACAGTGCGCAAATTAGTGATGTACCCACGTGTTCGTGTATTGCGAGATTTTCAGTATAAAGATCACCTCCTGCACGCAATAACTTATATAATCCTTATTTTCTTCTACCAATTTACCTCACCTCTACGACATTCGGTGTCTTGCTCGATCGTCGAACCTACTCTCCGCATAATGTATCCAAGAACAGCGCAACAGACGAGTCGGGCTGATGACGATTAGGATGACGATGATTAGGATACACAAAGCGCGGACGGTCGGCAGGTTGTTCACAACTAAGTCTGTGTGTGTTTTCTCCACCAATCCTTGTCTGTTGCACAGTTCTTATATTCATTACGTGCTACCAGTGTACTGAAGTTCCCACACTTCACTATTCTCCTCTCATTGGCGTAGCGCTAGGGGATGGCACACCTAGCCCGTGTTCTCCCCCCCCCCCCTCCCTGCCACCTCCACCTTTTAGAGTTTTTATTTCTTTTCTTTTTTTCACGGCAGACAAAGCAGAAAATGACACTCGATCGCATCTGCCTGCTTGACCTAACACTTCAGATCAAGCAGCTGCCTGCCTTCCCCCGTTCCACAGTTTAAAGTGACGTGTGCCGAGAATAGTTCCCATGCCCGCAGCTAGTTATCTCCAGAATTCACCTTTGATATTGCGGTTAACCACGAGAGTCGCCCTTCCTCAGCATTTTGTAACGAACGAAGACCGCCGGGCATCAGCGATTATACTCGAACCTTACGTAGGCGCTCGCGTAAGCACTCGTGCCGCGCACCTGCCGCAGCATGGCCGTTTCCGGATGCATACGCGCACGTCACCCACTGCCATCTTGACGTTGATGGAAAAGGCCGAGTGGAAAAGGGGAGCTGTGCGTGCTGCGAAGCCAACCTGCTGCTCGCAATAACGAAGCATGCACGTGCGACCGATGGCCGGGCTCCCAGTTGCCCGCGTATCGCGCGTACAAAGCCTCTTGTGTTTTTGGCAGCGCTTACATTTACGACGGCGCGCCATTACGACCAATACATCAACGCGCACCGATAAATGACACCACGGGGCGGGCGGGCGCCGCGGCAGCTCGTGATTTCCCACAGCCGCGAAACGCAGACTCCCGTGCTTTCACGCGCTGGCGATTGTTCAGCTGCGACGACACACACACTCGCGCACACGAACACAAAACAAGCGCAGACTAACGCCTGGCCCTCTTCCCAGCCCTGCAAGCGCGCACTTCCGTGTTAGTGAATGAGCCATGGCTCATACTACCGCCGCGGTGCACACGTTTGAAAGCGACAAAACGTGCCTGAAAAAAAAAAAGTAATAATGTGGGCTGATGCGGCCCCTGAAACGTTAACAGTTCAATAGGTGGACAGCTCGGAGACGAAGTTTGTGGTTGTACCGACTTCCATCCGCGCACGAATCGGGCTTGCGAGGTTTACTAAAGAAAGGAACGTGAAAATATGACGGTCTCTATGCCAAAACGTGTGGTGAGGTTGAACGCAGTGTGCATCAGTCGAACGCCACTCAAGAGAAGGACATGTATCGTGATACCGTGAAACGATGTGAACTATATATATGCAAAGCTCCGCCAGCTCAACAGGCCTGTAGTAAGGCCTTGCCTTTTGACGTGTAGAGGAATGCATAAGTGTTTTGTTCACTCTCTCCACACACGAAGACTATGGTCTTTCGACGACATTTGCAGATTAAATGCAGATACGGGGCCAATTTTTTTATACCAATTTCCCTCCTCTCTACGGCATTCGGTGTCTTCCTCAATCGTCGAACCTACTCTCCGCATAATGTATCCAAGACCAGCGCAACAGACGAGTCGGGCTGATGACGATTAGGATGACGATGAACACAAAGCGCGGACGTTCGACAGGTTGTTCACAACGAAGTCTGTGTGTGTTTTCTTCGCCAATACTTGTCTGTTGCGAAGTTCTTATATTCATTACGTGCTACCAATGTGCTGAAGTTCCCACACTTCACTATTCTCCTCTCATTGGCGTAGCGCTAGGAGATGGCACACCTAGCCCGTGTTCCCCCCCCCCCCCCCCTGCCACCTCCACATTTTAGAGTTTTTATTTCTTTTCTTTTTTTCACGGCAGACAAAGCAGAAAATGACACTCGACCGCATCTGCCTGCTTGACCTCACACTTCAGATCAAGCAGCTGCTTTCCCCCGTTCCACAGTTTAAAGTGACGTGTGCCGAGAATAGTTCCCATGCCCGCAGCTAGATTTCTCCAGAGTTCACATTTGATATTGCGGTTAACCACGAGAGTCGCCCTTCCTCAGCATTTTGTAACGAACGAAGGCCGCCGGGCATCAGCGATTATACTCGAACCTTACGTAGGCGCTCGCGTAAGCACACGGGCCGCGCACCTGCCGCAGCATAACCGTTTCCGGATGCATACGCGTACGTCACCCACTGCCATCTTGACGTTGATGGAAAAGGCCGTGTGGAAAAAGGGGGTGGGAGCGGTGCGTGCTGCGAAGCCAACCTACTGCTCGCAATAACGAAGCATGCACGTGCGACCGATGGCCGGGCTCCCAGTTGCCCGCGTATCGCACGTACAAGGCCTCTTGTGTTTTTGGCAGCGCTTACGTTTACGACGGCGCGCCATTACGACCAATACATCAACGCGCACCGATAAATGACACCACGCGGCGGGCGCCGCGGCAGCTCGTGATTTCCCACAGCCGCGAACGCAGACTCCCGTGCTTTCACGCGCTGGCGATTGTTCAGCTGCGACGACAACACACACTCGCGCACGAACTAACACAAACAAGCGCAGACTAACGCTGGCCCTCTTCCCAGCCCTGCAAGCGCGCACTTCCGTGTTAGTGAATGAGCCATGGCTCATACTACGCCGCGGTGCACACGTTTGAAGCGACAAACGTGCCTGAAAAAAAAAAGTAATAATGTGGGCTGATGCGGCCCCTGAAACGTTAACAGTTCAATAGGTGGACAGCTCGGAGACGAAGTTTGTGGTTGTACCGACTTCCATCCGCGCACGAATCGGGCTTGCGAGGTTTACTAAAGAAAGGAACGTGAAAATATGACGGTCTCTATGCCAAAACGTGTGGTGAGGTTGAACGCAGTGTGCATCCGTCGAACGCCACTCAAGAGAAGGACATGTATCGTGATACCGTGAAACGATGTGAACTATATATATGCAAAGCTCCGCCAGCTCAACAGGCCTGTAGTAAGGCCTTGCCTTTTGACGTGTAGAGGAATGCATAAGTGTATTACTGCGACGCTCATGTTTACCTGAGAAAGGGTGCATGGCAAGTGTTAAAACGTCTTTTCCCTTCACGGTGTATTGCAGGTTCGCGGGTCAAAATGGCGGCGGCATCGAGGACACCACTCAGTGGAGGCTGGTCGAGGTTTCGTCGCCACTCGGTCCGGACGGTGCAGTGACGTCATCCAGGACACCATGAGCCTAGTACTGCGGACTTCCGAAGAGCCCCAGCGACCGCCCAGACATGCGTCTCTCGGGCTGTTCAGAGTACTCTGCGTCACAGTGTTGTTCCTGGCTGCCGCCTCGGCGCACATCACGATACGGGAAAAGGGCAAGCATACATTTATTCTTCAGACAATTGCTCGGCTAGCTGGTATATAATTATGAACTACAGAACGCTGTAGCACGGGACATAGACGAAAGCTTACACAGCAAAGGACAAACGCTTGTCTTCTGCTGTGCTTTCTTCCATGTTTGGTATCGAGCTTACGCTCTGCAGTTAAGCAGTTCATTTCTCGTCTCTTCGGCGTTGATTCGACTTTTTATGTGATCAGAGAAAATGGCTGTCAGTGCGTGCCGCAAGCCCATTGTAAGAACGACAACATCGAATAGGATGTGATAGGCAGGAGATGGTAATGTCGACCATAACGGTGGCGTAGTCAGAAATGAGGGGGAGGGGGGCGAGTTTATCTTTCACGTTCGTGCGTGCGTTTGCGTGCGAGCGCGCGTATATACACGTATACATGCAAAAACTGAAAATTTACGAAAAAGTTTAAAAACAACCCCTCCCCTGCTCCCCCCCCCCCCCCCGCTACATCAATGTCGACGATAGAAAGACCCTGTCAGCCACTGAGCACATCGAGCGCTCCTCGCTCAAGTATGACCGAAATCTTTAATGAGCCCTGGTGAGTGAAGGGTCCATTAACGCTCGGCGACCGCCCTTCCGTACAAAGTTCGAGGACCACCTCGGAGCGCGTCCGTTGTTCCGAGAGGGCTGGTGAACGCGCTCATGCATGCCCGCGTGTAAGTATATATACGCGACGGTGCGCGCTTCACTTACGATGCATGGCGAAAGGCCGGCCCGTGCTCGCATTAACTCGCTAATTAAATGCGGAAGCCCAGGCGAAAGGGCTGTGCAAAAACTCACGTACACGCGCGGCCTTTCTATAGATACCACAGCGACATCTCGCCGTCGCACAAGCGCGCCGCTCAACAATGAACTGCGAAAGCAAATAACCTTCGCCCCTTTCGCTTTTCGGAGAGTATCAGTGTATACTTATACTGTACTTGGAGCAACCATTTCTGAATCACACCCACCGCCTTGGTGGTGGGGGGGATGTTTGGCAGCTAACCTGGCAGTCGCGGGCTCGATGCCGGTCGCATTTCGATGAAGGCAAAAGACCTCTCTCTCTCCTTTCCTTACAGCATGAAAAGTGCAGTGTCCCAACGCGCATCGACAATGCGGATGTGCCTATACGCATTCAGTTGGCGCGTGTAGCTTTCACGTACGTATCAAAATAAGATCAATTCAAACAGCGCTTAAATTGCGTTACCGAAGTGATACCAGTCGGAGGACGTTATATGTACACGTATAAGCCTATTGAAATTCGTATTCTTCATTTAGCTAAGCACTAAAAACTATCCGGCCATCTCCGAAGCCGGAAGTCTTGTGCCACGCGCGCGCGGGTTTACACATGGTGCGTACGCCTCGCGGATAGGCTTAAGAAGCGTGCCGAAATTTGCAACTATCCGACGTTCTTTCGCTGATCTCGTTTCGAGCCGAGAGACTAAACTCTTCCGGGGCACTTAAGGGAGCAATCGTCGACGATCGTCGTCCGGCAAACGGCAGCGCAGGCCCGCTGAATCTCCTTCCAAGATGCGTCCGCAAGAGCGCTGTCTCAGCGAACGAGCCTATTTAACCTCCAACCGCAGCAGACCGCGGCGAAACGCTCTTTTAGAGCGCTCGGTATGCACCGCGGGCATCGTCGTGGGCGTATAATATGATCCCGTCTCTAAAACAAACGAGACGTGAGGTTTAAGGTAACGCGCGAATATCACACACGGCAGAGTGCACACAAAGGCGCATTCCATGTACGGTTCCTCTTTGTTTACTGTTATTTGTTCATTCTTGGGCGCAGAGCACTATAGGCCCTCCGAGCAGTGCTTTCGGCAATGTCAAGCTCATTCTTAGTAAAACATTTTTTTTTTCCTTCACCATGTGTACGAGCCCGCACTGCATTGACGTCGCCAAGACCGCAGCTTTGGAGCACCAACATGCGGGATGCGACGTTTACGATGTCGCACTATATACTGTTATCAAAAACAGCGCATGCAGGTTATAACCTGCATGTGCTGCAAGCCACCATCGTGTGCGTTCAGAAGCTGCGTCCACGACGTCAGGTGCAGGCTAACACCATGCAGCTGTGCTCGTGAAACAGTCGATCCTGCTTATAACAACTATCACTGTTATAACCGATAATTGCTTACGCGGTTTGCGCAAAAATAGCGAAGGACGGTATAGGCTGTTGCGACATTTTGGGCGGGGACGGTAGCCTGTTGCGACAAAACTATAATATCGGGTGGGATATGCTATCAAACATCAATGATGAGGATGACAGGGCTGCCGATTTCCTGCGGAAATTTTAAACTTGTCCTGCGCTGGACATGTTTTAAAATTTGGGCACTACCGCAGAACCACTACAAGCATTATAGACACAATGTATGACGACGTCTGAAGTTCTGGACGTTGAAAGTTCACAATGTGTCGATATTTTACTCAATTTGCATGTTCGAAAGTGCATTAACAAAAGCCACCGCCGCACCAACGCAGTAGCGGATTCCAAAAGTCAGCTTTGCCGCAATGCCATCACGACATGCGGTGAAGCATAACGCAAATTTGAAGGGGACTCGTTTGCTGGATTTCGTGCCAACCGGTTCCACGCGATCTCCGACGACAGCGCAGCTCTGGCCGACTGGCTCGCCCTACGCCATCTCCTGACGCCGACAAGAGCTCTCGCTGAGTGGTGCCCCGTCCTCGGACTCTTGCAACCGTGTCCACCTTTCCTGTCTTCTCCTTACTTCCGTGTGTGGCTGTCCCTGCCCCTCTCTCTATATCTATACCTTTTAATCTCTCCCCATCCTTTTAACCCCCCCCCCCCTTACCCCCATATCTAGTGAGCTGCAGTTGAGGTGTCCTCCCCCTGAGAGACAGTTACGGGGCTCATTTTTATCTTCTTTTCATTTAAGAATCACTTCCCCCCGAATCCGAAGGGGTGCTGCATGGGGGGCGTTGGGGTTGTGGGTTCAGCAGCTTGAACTTCTTGCGTTTCTTTTTTTTTTGTTCTTTAATTACATTTTGGCACGAAGACCCAACAGCCAGAATTCATTGTTATTAGCGATAATGTGGCATACGGGAATTCACTCAAAGAAAATATCGAGTAAAAAGGGCGTATTTTTCACCTACGACAATAATAGTCATCTACCTTATGTTCATTTCCTCCCACTATCGCCACGTGCCCGGTACTTTCAGGTCACGAACAACATGCGCGTTATCAACGTGACATAGTTTTCTTGAAAGAAAATTGGCCAGCTCCGCGTTTTCAAGAAAAGAAGCTCAAGCAAAGCCAATGATTATTATTGCTGCGAGACAGAAAAAAAGAAACATCCTTCTTACTCGATTTTTCTTTTGTGGTATTGTTGTAAGCGGGTTATTTCACCATAGAAAACATACAAGAGTTCACGATGCAGCAGCTCCTCATTATTATAACCGGCATGTTGTTAAAAACGGTATGGTTAAGCTCGTAAAACACCATCACATTCACCACAATACAAAGCTTTACAATGTAGCATAGGATAAATTAGCGGTTCGTGCAGTCGCCCGCTATTTCAGTCACAAAAGGGTGCAGAAGGGGGGGGGGGGGGGAGGACGCAATAGGTTAGCGTACGGCGCATGCGCAGTGGCGATAAACACTAACGCGAAACTTCGCGCACGCTATTCTTAAGCTGCTTTTTCTTTTTTTTTTCTTTTCAGACCTGGATGGCAAGATGCTACGATTCACGTACGGAGACACGGGCTACTATACAGAGCTCCTCTTCGACATTCACAGATACCAGCTGATTGTCGGAGCAAGGTACGAGCACGCGCTTGAAGAGCCGATATTTTTTTTTCTTTTATCTTCGAATTTCCTGTTCTGCCCTGTCATTTTATCAATGAGTTACTAAAATGAAGATTTTACCTATCTAGTTCGTTACACAACATTTACGTATGCAGGGCGGGGGGGGGGGGGGGTTCAGGCCACGCTCACATAGCACTACATGGGTTACTGACCAGCTCTGTACGTCATTTGCAACGAACGTCCACGCGTTATAAAAATATAAAAAGAAATAAGGGAAAAGTTGGCCACGTATTTGTGTGCCACGCAGCAAATGTCATCGAAATTTCGCAGCTGCCGCAGCTTGTGCCAAGTGGCAGCACCGTATCGTCGGCAGAGGGGCTTTTTCGTTCTTTCTTTTTTCAAGACGATAGTCTTTCTTGGGGACCTTCGACTCCAAAAATTTTGGTCTGTCTGTCTGTCTATCTGACTGTACATTTGTCTGTACATTTATCTGTCTGTTTTACGCCTTCAACGGTATCCTAACCGGCACCAAAGTGTCCAAACGATACTCCAAACGGCCGGTCCAATCCGCAGCGCCCACCAATATTGCTCAATATTCAGCGTTCATACTTGTGCGATTGTCAATTCAAACGAAATTATTGCGCATATCTGAGGCACCATAACAACGCGTCAATATTTTGTATGTGCCTCTTACTAGAAAAGACATACATAAGTAATTATAAGGACCGTAGCGTTTATCACGTTGCGCTTACCAGGCAACACTTTTTTTTTTGCATAACGTCGCATTTTTCAGCGCAGCCTAAGAAACACTAGGGTCTTTAAAATTACGTAAGTATATTTATAGTAGACGAACAACCCACCGCCTAATACTTCAGTATTGCTGCTGAGCCCCAAATATTCGTAATCTTGCTTTATGATAGGCAATGTTCACAAGTGTGAACGCAGCAAAGAGTTCAAGATGGCTGGGCGTTCAGCGAAGGCTTAAACTTCGGTGGGGGGGCTGAACTGCTCTCGCTGAGTGGTGCCCCGTCCTCGGACTCTTGCAACCGTGTCCACCTTTCCTGTCTTCTCCTTACTTCCGTGTGTGGCTGTCCCTGCCCCTCTCTCTATATCTATACCTTTTAATCTCTCCCCATCCTTTTAACCCCCCCCCCCCTTACCCCCATATCTAGTGAGCTGCAGTTGAGGTGTCCTCCCCCTGAGAGACAGTTACGGGGCTCATTTTTATCTTCTTTTCATTTAAGAATCACTTCCCCCCGAATCCGAAGGGGTGCTGCATGGGGGGCGTTGGGGTTGTGGGTTCAGCAGCTTGAACTTCTTGCGTTTCTTTTTTTTTTTGTTCTTTAATTACATTTTGGCACGAAGACCCAACAGCCAGAATTCATTGTTATTAGCGATAATGTGGCATACGGGAATTCACTCAAAGAAAATATCGAGTAAAAAGGGCGTATTTTTCACCTACGACAATAATAGTCATCTACCTTATGTTCATTTCCTCCCACTATCGCCACGTGCCCGGTACTTTCAGGTCACGAACAACATGCGCGTTATCAACGTGACATAGTTTTCTTGAAAGAAAATTGGCCAGCTCCGCGTTTTCAAGAAAAGAAGCTCAAGCAAAGCCAATGATTATTATTGCTGCGAGACAGAAAAAAAGAAACATCCTTCTTACTCGATTTTTCTTTTGTGGTATTGTTGTAAGCGGGTTATTTCACCATAGAAAACATACAAGAGTTCACGATGCAGCAGCTCCTCATTATTATAACCAGCATGTTGTTAAAAACGGTATGGTTAAGCTCGTAAAACACCATCACATTCATCACAATACAAAGCTTTACAATATAGCGTAGAGTAAATTAGCGGTCCGTGCAGTCGCCGGCTATTTCAGTCACAAAAGGGTGCAGAAGGGGGGAGGGGAGACGCAATAGGTTAGCGTACGGGGCATGCGCAGTGGCGATAAACACTAACGCGAAACTTCGCGCACGCTATTCTTAAGCTGCTTTTTTTTTTCCTTTTCAGACCTGGATGGCAAGATGCTACGATTCACGTACGGAGACACAGGCTACTATACAGAGCTTCTCTTCGACATTCACAGATACCAGCTGATTGTCGGAGCAAGGTACGAGCACGCGCTTGAAGAGCCGATATTTTTTTCTTTTATCTTCCAATTTCCTGTTCTGCCCTGTCATTTTATCAATGAGTTACTAAAATGAAGATTTTACCTATCTAATTCGTTACACAACATTTACGTATACAGGGCGGGGAAGGGGGGGGGGAGATTTCAGGCCACGCTGACATAGCACTACATGGATTAGTGACCAGCACTGTACGTCATTTGCAACGAACGTCCACGCGTTACAAAAAATATAAAAAAGAAAGAAGGGAAAAGTTGGCCGCGTATTTGTGTGCCACGCAGCAAATGTCATCATCGAAATTTCGCAGCTGCCGCAGCTTGCGCCAAGTGGCAGCACCGTATCGTCGGCAGATGGGCTTTTTCGTTCTTTCTTTTTTCAAGACGATAGTCTTTCTTGGGGACCTTCGACTCCAAAAATTTTGGTCTGTCTGTCTGTACATTTGTCTGACAACCACTGAAGAGGCTGACAACCACTAGATCTCCTGATCGGCTGCGACGTTGGAGCTTTACGAGTCGTATTTGACAGTTCAAACGGTCCACTCACAGCTGCACACAGATGTAGCGTCCCATGCCAGTACAGGATATTGCCTCGAGTTTTTCACGAGCGCGTCTTGCCTGAGCTCGTTTGAAATTGACTGCAAAGCGATGACAAGGCAAAGTAGACGCACCGTCATGTTCCGCTGAGTCGGCTTCACAACAAAACCAGAGGTGCCTTGAGGGCGTACCACTGGGTCCACTGGGACAGACGCAACTAGGATCGCAGAAGACGAAACGATAAGTGATTCACACTCACTACTGTACTGTTATTTTCATAAATAGATAATACATATTTCTGAGAGAAAAACAAGCACGTTTGTTTTCAAGTGTTGCAAAAAATTATTCATTAAATTTTGATGCCAAATCTAGAACGCAATGGCACAGCGATGCAAACCCTGATAGTTGAATTCGCCCAGGTTTCATTTTTTGCCATCTGGTCGCGAAAACTTTTTGCAATAAAGTCTGCGCATAATAAATTAAGCAAGTTTAAATTAAATTTGAGTTCATATCACTTTGTTTCAAACCCGAAAAAGAAGCGTCGCGAATCTCAAGGACGTAATCCATCCAAAGCGGATCCGAAGCCTGTACTTCCCATAATTCCCATGGGGGTACAAGCGCCGCTGAAGGAGCCCGCGGTAGACACGAGCGCCAGATTCCGCTCTATATAGGTATTATAGTATAAAACGTTATGGCCTGTGCCCTTTAGATCTGGTGGTGGCGTGCCAATAGTTAAGTACTATCACTGTGTGTTTAAGGACTGAATTTCACTCGCGCCTCGATTGCAGCCACCAATCAATTAGCCTCCTCCTGGTTATTTCTACCCGTTTAAAGTCTATTTTGCCTCCACTGTCCCTAAACCCCAATGCTTTGAGAAATTCGGCACCATTATCTTCGACAATAGGGTGGAGCCCTTTACAGAACATTATCAAATGTTCAGCCGTTTCCTCCTCCTCTCCACACGCACTACATACCGTTTCTGTGTCTTCGTATTTTGCTCGGTACGTCATAGTCCGCAATACTCCCGTTCTAGCCCCGAAGAGCAGAGAACTACCCGAGAATTATCGTAGATCTTTTCCCTTGCAATTTCCTTCTTAAACGAGCTAGTAGCCAAAACGACACATGGGTGTCGCTGTCTCTGCTCCATCAAATTTGTGACCCCCCCCCCCTTTTTTTTTTTTTTTTTTCACGTAGAGGCTGCGACGGTGCCGGTTCGACCGCCAGGATGGCGTAGTTATTTATGCCAGTTGATTCATAACCAAGCGTAGCCAGCCTCGCAAAACCTGATGAAGCAAAGCGCGGTATCACCTGAAAAATTCGGGCGTAAGCAAGCTTAAGCCCAGCCTAGGCTGCAGTATTTATGTTAAGTGTAGGAAAGCTTCGATGCGCCCAGATGGGTCGAGAAAACTACACATACAGCCAAATCTATTTATGCATACTTGATCCTGCTATCATTTCATTTAGCCGAGCAAAATTAGCCCAAGTAAGGCAAACCTCATCGCGCCCAATTTGTCCACGTCGACTTCCCCATGAGCCCAGAGGCGCCAAACCCTGGAAGATACTAATTACTTCTTGCTGACACTTAGCAATCAAGCTAATTTATGCCTAATTAGTGTTAAGACGCGTACCCGTTGTGGTTGATTAATTACTCTTATATCCAATCACCCGCCAAACATAATGAATTTTCACGTGACATAATTAGGCTAATTATGCATAACTCAGCTAACGACCATGTCGTCTTAGCAAAGCGTTGGAAACACTTGTATTTCGTACAAGCGTTGCATGGTCAGCGCAGCAGGATTAACGCTACGGTCCTTAGAATTGCTTATGTATACCTTTGTCTAGTAAAAGATACACATACAAAATATCGACGTGTTGTTATGGTGCCTAAGATATGCGCAATAATTGCTTTTTAATTGACAATAGCACAAGTATGAACGCTGAACCTTGAGCAATATTGGTTGGTGGCCGCTGCGGATGGGCTCGGCCGTTTGGGGTATCAGCCGGACACTCCTGTGCCTTTTAGGGTGCCGTTAAGGGTGGACACACAGACAAATGTACAGACAGAAGACAGACAGACCAAATTTTTTGCATCGAAAGTACCCAAGAAAGACTTTCGTCTTTAAAAAAAAAGGGGGGGGAGAGGGAGAGAAGAAAAACAACGGCATAAATTTGTTGGAGCTAGACAGCGACACCTAGTTGTCGTTTTGGCTACGAGCGCCTCAGAGAGAGCGACATGAGAGGCCAACTTATACGACGGGACGCGCATGCGCACCGCAGTAAGCGTCTCGTCGCGAGATAGCGCATCGATGCCTTCGGCCCCGCAATCTCGTGGTTAGAGTGACCA